CTCACAGGGGTAGCACAGGTTGCTTAAGGTCATGTGGCTTAGCGAGCACCCAAGCCGGATTTGACCCCAACCCTGTCTGATAGCATAGCTTGTGCTCTATCCACAAGGTAGGCCAGGCAAGGAGGCAACAGGGTGCCTACTGCATAGTTGTCAAATGAATGAATGAATGAACACCTGAGCTGGGAAAACTAGGCCCAGACAGGGTCTAGAAAGCTCAGCCCCAGGGCCGTTCTCTGTAGGAGTCATACAGTGCCTGTCTATAACAGGGTTGCAGCAAGCCAGCATACAGTTGGAAGGTGGGAGGCGTGCGAGGTACACAGGGCAAGCTATTCCCCCTCAGTCAAGAAGCATGTCCTGGAGGAGGGGGTCCTCGCCACCATTGGCCAGGAGCCCAAGTGGACCCTGCCGCTCACCTTGTCCTTGACCCTCTGTGCAGAGCAAAGCCGTCGAGATGACCTGGAGAGTCTGGGCTACGTGCTCATGTACTTCAACCTGGGCTCCCTGCCCTGGCAGGGCCTCAAAGCGGCCACCAAGCGCCAGAAGTACGAACGGATCAGCGAGAAGAAGATGTCGACGCCCATCGAGGTCCTCTGCAAAGGCTACCCCTGTGAGTAGCCCAGTCAGGAGCTGGTCAGTGGGGACCCCCGAGGCCCTTTGTAAGGGGAAGACGAGGCCACACAGAGTCTGTTCCGGGCTACCACCGCCCCTGACACCAGAACACTAATCATGGGCTCTGGGCCGGCTGTCACTGCTCCGGCACAGTGGGAGTCCTGGCTGTCAAATAGTCGGTATCCCCAGACTCACATTCCTGCCTCCTCTCTCAAGGGCTGAGTATCAGGAAAAACTAGTCCTTCCTTCTTCTGAGTCTCCTTCACTCTCAGGGACCACTTCATTTCTGACACTGTAGTCATCAAACGTGTGGGGGTTTTCCCCCCAGCGAGCAATTCTCTGTAACACCAGCTGCGTGTCCTACTGTTTAACTTAATTCTAACACTATCTACCTGGAGATAGTTTCAGACCCCACAGGTTAAGGGCTCAGTCCAACAAGACTGTTCCCACCACACTTCAGACAACAATTGCAAGCCTAGGTTGCCACCTGTGCTCCTGACCAATTGGCTATAAATCTGTGATTCCCATGATCCCCTCCTTGAGTTCGATTCATTTGCTCGAGCGGCTCACAGAACTCAAAAACACGTTTAGCAGTTTATTAAAGGATTTGATAAAGGATACAGATAGACAGCCAGATGAAGAGCTACACCGGGCGAGATCTGGGAGGGCCCCAAGTGCAGGAGCTTCTGTCCCTGTGCAGTTGGGGTGTGTCACCCTCCCTGCGTGGATGTGGTCACCCACCTGGAATGTCTCCAAACCCAAAACTATTGGAATTTTTATGGAGGCTTCATCACGTAGGCATGATCAATTATTAACTTCATTTCTAGGCCCTTTCCCTTCTCTGGAGAATCTGGGGGGTGGGGTTGAAAATTCCAAGCTTCTAGTCATGGTTTGGTCTTTCTGGTGACCAGGAGACACCCAGAGTCGCCTCGTTAGAACAAAAAAATGCTCCTAGTGCTCTTATCACTTAGAACTTACAGGGTTTTAGGAGCCTGTACAGGGACAAGGTTAAAGACTAAGTATTAGAACAAGAGGTGTTCTTATCACTTAGGAAATTACAGGGGTTTGAGGAGCTCTGTGACAGGAACCAGGGGCAGAGACCAATATATATGTTTCCTATTATTTCACAAGGGCCCTCTCACCCCTAATTTTCAGATGAGGAAGTGGATGTCTTCTTCCTGTGGCTTAGGTCATATTGAGAGTTCCCATTGGGCTCTCGACTGTCTTTTTGAGTTTATGGCAGTTATTGATCTGCCATCTCCATGACCCCAGAGTGCCTGACAAGTGCAGGTGACGAGCTGTGAACGGGGGTCCTGCAGTGCCAGCTTACGGAAAGGGAACGCTTGTTCATTGTTCGCAGATCTTCAGTTGTTCTTGAATCTTCAGAGGCTCTGCTCACAGGCAGGTTATGGTTTCATCACTCTAGGGAGGACCATAGATCTGTTCTGTCTTCATCTTTCCCCCTTGCAGACTGAAGGGACAGTGGGTGGGTACGACAGCTGCTGGCTGCTGGGGGTCCTGGGAGCACGCGCCTCACAGTGGCCTCTTCTATCCCTGTAACCCCCACCAGCTGAGTTCTCAACATACCTCAATTTCTGCCGCTCCCTGCGGTTCGACGACAAGCCCGACTACTCCTACCTGCGACAGCTTTTCCGTAACCTCTTCCACCGGCAGGGCTTCTCCTACGACTACGTCTTCGACTGGAACATGCTCAAATTCGTGAGTCACCTGGAGGTCAAGGCGGGCTTGGGGGACTGGACGGGGATGGCCCTGACTCATAAGGCCAAAGTGACCCTGTGGTGGGCGGGGCTTCCGAAAAACGGGAGCTATGAGCTGGACCTTGCAAGTGACCGCACTGAGGTCCCAGAGCCCCCGTGTGCCCCCTACTTCTGTCTCATCAATGCTGAGAGCATTGGTCAGCAGAGCCCAGGCAGTGTGCCTCCTCCCACCAGACCCAGGAGGACCTGGCTGGGCCTCCGGTCCATCCTAGGCGCCCGCGGTCGGGCGTGGATGGCACTGGCGGGCCCCCCTGGTGTCCTGATCATGGCCTACACCTTCCTGCTCTTGTTGTTCTGCACGTCCCAGGCGGCTGCCTTCACTGTGGCCTCTCTGGCCAGTATGGACCCTTTCAATGTGGTTTCTTTCTTCCTGGTCACGGGACCCAGGGCCTTGCTGGGCGGCTATTCTGTCTCCCTCTTTTAAGAGTCTTGGGGGGGGTGAGGTGGGGAGAAGCGGTCGTCCGCTGTGCCTGGAGCTCTGGAATCTGAAATCGTATGACTTGTTTCACGTCTCTTCTGGAAAAGGGGGCTTCCTCGAGCCAGGCTCAGCCCCGTGACAGCGAAGCTATTGCACTGCCCTGCCCCCGCCCCCACCCCTGTGCTGGGCCCACGTACTCACCCGCCTACTGGTAAGGACCCTCCAAGGCCTGGCCTTTCCAAAATTTACCACTTGGCCAAGTGAGCACAAGAGGTTGAGCCTCTGCTGTGCTTTCTGTGTCCCTTCCAGGTGCCCGGCGCCCCTGGGCACCCAGGGCCCTCCAGATAGGCCGTTGGAGGAGGTGGAAGAGCTGCCCCCCCAAAACTACTGCCCTGTGGTCTGGACTCCAGGGCCCCTGTTCTGACAGCACCAGGTGTGCCTGAGCCCATCGGGGCCAGTCCTGAGGAGGTGTCCCTTGGCGTGGTGGGGGGTCAGTGGAGAGGGCATGGCAGAGAAGACCCTGCCACGAGTTTCTTGGGGATGAATCAGCTGCCGGATGGATGAACAGAGCCTGAAGGAGGGTTGATGTTCACTGCCCTGGAGGGGCCTGGGCGTGGGCACCAGGAGCAGCATCAGCCAGACCCTGTCGGCGGCCTCTGTATTGAACCTGAACTCATTAAACGTCCCCCACCTGTACCACGCTTCCTTCTGTTGTTCTCCTTTCATCGAGGGTGCCCTCCGCCCGCTAGGGCAGATGGCTTAGGACTGAGGCCTTGTTCTCCTGGACACTGGGGACGGCACATGGTCTTGTGCCCCTCTTCTTTCTGGGTCTCAGACAGTGGCCTGGTACTGCTCCTTAAGTGGGACAGAAGTTGGGCAGAGAACGGGGGTTCTGCAGGCCAAGGGACCCCAGGGGTGAGAGTGGGAGATGGGCAGCGGTGCACCTGTCACTAGGCCTTCTAGCTGGGAGCGCAGCCAAGGGCCAGGGGCCAGCTTTTCTCGCCACAGGGCATCGCTCAGGGAGTTGGGGCACTGGGCGAGGACTCGCTCATCGTATAGAAAGTCATTCCAGAGTCTGGTTCTGGGATGGGCTTGGCCTTTCTCTTCATACAGCTCCAAGAATGGGTTTTGTATTGTCTAGGCCTGTGTCATTCAATGTGGCAGCCATTGGCTACATGTGGCTAATTTTTACTTAACTAAAATTAATCAGAACTGAAAATGTAGCTCCTCAATTGCATTCACCACATTTCAAATTCTCAGGAGCCACAAGTGGCTGGCTAGTAGCTACCATATCTGGCAAGGCAGACGTGAATATGTCCATCATCACAGAAAGTTCTATGGGACGGTGCTACTCTAGATGGCTCCTCACAGAGCCTCTCGTGGGACCATTCAGCCAACAAGATCTTGTCACAAGCCAGGCCAGGAGCGCCCTCCCCACCCATTGCTCACACTCTGACCCCTTCCTGGAGTCCCCTTTGAAGCAGGCTCTGGAGTCTGAAGCTAAGCAGAGGTGCTAACAATCTTATCGTGAACGCACCAATCTCTGACTTGAAGACCATCGGACTGGATAAGGGGGCGCCCTTGACCCCATCGCCACTGTGGTGAGCTCAGCCATCCCCTGGCAGAAGCATCTGCAGACACGTGATGGCGACCTTTCACCCTGAAGCCAGGACCCTCCTACTTCACCCCACCCTGCAGGAAGCCTTCACCAGCACGTGCTAGCAGACAGGACACCATGCTGGGCACCGTGGGCTGCAAACTGTTCTGCAGGAAGGATTCCGCTCTTGACGGAGAGCTTTCCTCCTTGGAGTGGCCACCATAGAGCACTTAGTATCAGGGCCCTGGGATCTCTGGACACCTGGAGCCTGAGACGCTGCTCTCAGCACACAGAGCCACCGTTCCGAGGTCCAACCAGCCGGCCAAGAAGAAACTCGATGCAGCCAAGGACAGGGGTCCACACAGCACGGGTGGATGCCTGTGTGACTTTGATCAGTTTTCTTGTGGGCAAATAAAAGCCAAGAGACCACCCTGGTGTGTGTTTCTTGAGGTGTCACTTGGGTTGGTTGGAAACATGGAGAGTAGGTCACCTGGTGTTTTAGGGCTGGCCTTGGCTTGAGCCCGCTGGGGTCACAAAGGGCAGGGGCTGTACACCTCTGAGCGAATCACTTAGTGGCACAGAGCCTCAGTTTCCCCACCCAGGGAATGAGTTCCTACCTGCCCACAGGAGGTTTCATGAGTGGGTTCTACAGCTCCTCTCGTGGTCTGGCTGAGTTGCTCTCTCTGTCAGCCTGTAACTGAGTGAGTGGGAGTGCAGGGGGAAGACAGGAGATCAGCCTAGAGAGCCTTGGTGGTTCCAGGTCTGCCTGCCTGGACAGGCTTGTGGGTGGAAGGACTGGCGATGTTTGTTTCTAGAATGTTCTGCTAAGTCCTCTGGAGGCACAGAGAGCAGAGCAGGACTGAGTGGCAGAGGCCTGGGTTCACGCCCCAGCTCTGCCCTGAGCTGTGTGACCCCAGGCAGGTCATGAGGACTCTGGGCCTCGGTTCCTCACTAGGATTTAGGGATCATTCTGATCCCCAGCCATGACCTCCCAGTGGTGCTTAAAGGCAAGGCCCACCCCCCAACCCCATTTCCCAAGGACAGTAGGGCCGCCTCAGCCAGTTCCCTGGGAGAGACACGGGGTTGCAGGAGACCGCACCCCGTGGCCCGTGAGCAGGCCCCAACTCAAGCCCACAGCTCTCTCCACAGATGCGGCCCCCCTCATGCCAGCCCCCTGCCCTTCCCTGTGGACGACCCCAGGACCAACTAGGTAACGCGGCCAGGTGCCGCTCCCATACCATGCTCCTCTCTCTGGGCCTTTCCCCTTTCCTCCTGCACTGGGGGTGGCACTGGCTGGATGGCAGGGTCCTTGGGGGTTCATGTACCCCTTCTGCCCCAGCCTGCCTGCTGGGCCGCTTTTTCCTCCATGGGGCCTCTGTCCCGTTCCTTTTCCAGCTCCCCTGAGTTCCCATCCCAAGGCAGGCAGCATCTGTGTGGGTCCCCTGGGCCTCCTGTTGGTGGCCCCCACAGCGCCTTCCAGAAGCCATTGTCAGGTTCAGAGGCAGAGGATGAATAGCCCTTTGAAAAGATCCCCTGGCTGGGAAGCCTAGTTTAAATCCAGGCCTGGCCTTGGCTAGCCTTGTAACTCACTCTGGGCCTCTGTGAACTCCTGCCCTGCTCTGTTGGCAAACCTTGAGGAGTCGGGGACTCTGTATACAGATGGGGCCCAGGTTGGGAGGGCCAAGGAGTGCCCTTGGTCATCCTGAGGGCATCCGCTCTCCCAGCCTCGACTGGCCCCATGAGACCAGGGCAGAGTGACCTTCCTCTGCCTCTCACATCCAGCTTCCTCCTTCCTCTGGGCAGTTTTTGGCTGTTTCTCTGTGCTGTGTGATCGTGGGTCATTTCCAGGCCTCTCGGGCTCCCTGCTTTGTGGGGAGGAGGTTGGACTAGAGGGTTGCGATGCCTCTTCCCTGAGATGCCCACCTGGCCTCCCTCCCCCTGTTCTGCCCTGTTGGGGTGCCCCCCCAGCAACCTGACCTCACAGGGCTGACCAGGTCTCTCCTTGCCCTCCCCACAGGGTGCAGCCCGAAACCCCGAGGATGTGGACCGGGAGCGGCGAGAGCACGAGCGCGAGGAGAGGATGGGGCAGCTCCGAGGGTCTGCAACCCGGGCCCTGCCTCCCGGCCCGCCCACGGGGGCCACTGCCAACCGGCTCCGCAGTGCTGCCGAGCCTGTGGCTTCTACTCCAGCCTCCCGCATCCAGCAAGCTGGTGAGCGGGGACCTTGGGCAGTGGGCCCGGCCCGAGGGCGCCCCGGGCAGCCAAGGCCCTGGACACTGAGGGTGGCTTCCTCCTCCCTCACCCTCTAGGCAATACTTCTCCCAGAGCGATCTCACGAGTCGACAGAGAGAGGAAGGTGAGCATGAGGCTACACAGGGGCGCTCCTGCCAACGTTTCGTCCTCCGACCTCACCGGGCGGCAAGAGGTCTCCCGGATTTCAGCCTCACAGGTGAGCCGCCCTCATTCCAGCCCTTCTGTGCCTTGCAACTGAGCCAGGGACCCCCAGGCATGGAGTCAGCCCTTGTGGTTCAGTTCTTTCCTGTCCGCTGATTCTCTCTAATAACCTTGGAGCAAGCCCCTTTTGTTGAGCAGGGACTTAGCCTCATTAAATCCTCTGAGGTCTGATTAGCCCCATTGAGCAAAATCAGAAGTAACTTGCCCCAGCAGGTGGTAGAGCTGGGATCCAGCCCTCGCTGCCAGGGGCTCAGCCTGGGTGGGCAGCAGGGAGTTCACAACGGAGAGGCTCGTCGTCCTTGCCATTAGGAAGCCCCCACAGGTCCCAGTCTGCACAAGATCGAGGGGTGGGCCGATCCTGTCCGGTGACCCCACTTAGGGGTTATGTTTGGACTAGGAAAGGTAGGAAGGGGGAATCTGTGGTTGACCAAGGAAGGCATCCTGGCAGAGGTGGGCAGGAGACCTGCTGTGCTCCTCCTGCCTGCAGTGGAGAAGCCTCAACAGGACGAGCCAAGGGTTGTGCTTCCAGCAGCCAGACTCCAGTGTGGCCTGGAGCGTCTGCTTTGCCTCTCTGGGCAGTGTTCTTAATCTACACCCCGGGGTCACTGAGATCACACACCTCTTCCCTTGGCTCAAGGGCCTGGTAGGGGTGGGGTGGAGCTCCACAGGGGGGCAGGACTTGCCACATTGCCCTCGCTGGCAGCTTATCCCCCTCCCCCTCTCTCTGCCTTCCCTCCCAAAGACAAGCGTGCCATTTGACCATCTTGGGAAGTGAGGAGGAACCACCATTGGACCAGTATTTGCTTAGGTGAGTTGATGTCTGCTGCAGACGCAGCCCAGTGAGGTATAGAAACACCTGCAGCTCTAGGAAGAGACCAGTGTGTGCTGTGGAGGAGTGAGGAGAGTGGCAGATGGTACCAGGGACCCCAGAACCAAGGGCCTTCAAGGGAGTTTAAAACCTTGGAGCCTGCCTGACTCTGAGCAGGCCTGGCCCACACCAGTTAGTTTCTTCTGGAAACCCCTTTCTCTGTCTCTGAGCCAGCCTTCCATGCCCCCTTTGCCTTAACATATTTTGGAAAGTTGGTTCCTAGCAAAGATGGGGCCCAGGGGCCCACACCCTGACTTCCCCCAGGGATTTAGCCCTGTCTTAGCAGCCTGGGCTGTTAAACTCTTAACTCATCAAAGCACTTAACCAGGGCCCTGTACTTAAGAGTTTACCTGCTGTCAAAGAAGGCACTTGGCCTCCACAAGTCCAGGAGGCCCTCTGGCCAGTATGAGTCTCATGGGACTTCCATGGCTGCACAAGGCCTTGGGGTGGCATATAGCAGCCCTCCACTCTAGGGCTGGCTCGAGGAAGGGGAGGTGGCAGGGGGTTCTTTGCGGGAGCAGGGAGTGTGGGGGAAGGTCTGAGCTCCCTGGGGAATATGGGCGTGACAGGCCGAGCTTGGCCTCACAGCGGTGGAAATTCATTGTACAGATAGAGCCGGGGCATAAAGCCGGGCTGACCTTCGTCAGACCTTGAGCCCAGGAACCAGCCTGTCCATGGCAGATGTGAGACTGGGGCAGCTGCTCGTGAAGAAGACAGGAAAGGGATTGATTGTGTCCTTCTTGTGAAAATGGAGCACCTACTCTGTGCCCCAGAGAGGGACCAGCTCAAAGGCTTGGGGACAAGACTACAGTAGCTGAATGAGGTCTGGCAGATGGGTGGCCACAGGCAGTGCTCCTAATCTGTCTTCTTTCTCCCGTTTTCAGTGTCTTCACTGTATTTTCTTTTGAAAAAACAACAACAAGATGGGGGAAAAAACCACTCAAAAGAACAAAAAAAGAGGAAAAAAAACCCAGCACAAAACCGACGATGGATTTTGTTTCTTTTGATGTTTTTTTTTTTTATTGGTTTTTTTTTTTTTTGCCAACTGCAAGAAGATGAGATGCCCTCAGCACCGAGGATTCTCGTCCCTTTGTGTTTCTCGCTGCCCACACCTTCAGTCTGCCAAAGGCTCCCCTCACACAGAGCTACATGTGCCAGACGCCAGGCCCTGCCCCAGCTGACGCTGACACCGGCTGGGAGGGGAACATCTCAGCCTAGAGGGTCCTCCTGTGCCATTAGGAGGTGGCCTGAGGAGCTCGGGGAACGGTTTGATGGTTTGGTTGGTCGGCAGCAGGTCCCACCAGATGTTCTTGAGCCTCAAACCACAGGAAATACGCACAGCCCCCACCCCGAGATGATGGTGGCCGACTTTCTGTGTGGGCTTTTTCCAGTGTCCCCTCTGGAAAAAGGAGTGTTTGGGTCCCTGTTTGCCTTTCCCCGGAGACCTTAAGGAGTGGGTGGCGAGGTGATGGAAGCTGAGATTCCTTGTGTGCGTGTGTCTCCCAGGACAGCAAGGGCCCTCCCCAACTTCAGGCCGAATTTCTGTTCTCATCCCCTTAACAAGGACATGGGGTGGACATTGACCTTCATGTCCCTTAAGAAGGGCACAGAGGGTCCTTGTCACCACTGACTCCTCAGACTGTCGTCAGCCTGTGGCAGCCCTGTTCCCCTCTCCTGGTCTTCAGACAGAATCCGTGGAGACTACTTCCAGAAAGCATCTGGCTCCTGGGTTTGTAAATGAGTTCCCTGGTCCTGACACTCTCCCAAGGATCCTGCCTCCCTGCATCTTGCCTCTCAGTAGAGGAGCCTGGGGGAGGAGGAGTCTAGGGGAGGCGGAGCCTGGGGGGAGGAGTCTAGGGGAGGCGGAGCCTGGGGAGGAGGAGCCTGGGTCAGGGCTGGGCGCTGGATTTATCCATCCCTCCTAGTTAACACCCTGTTTTTACTTTATTTTTGTTTTCCCCGTGTGTGTATTTCCTAATTTATTTACCTCTGTTTCCCCTTTTTTCTTTTTCTTTTTTTAATTAAAGAGCAAAGCTTTTTATTACTTTGTAATTTAAAAAACTGAAAAAAAATACTGAAGAACTTTGGGGGGAATTTTGTACTTTTTTCCTGTGTAAATATTGGACTTTTTTGAGCTTTATTGTGGTTGTTAATTTGAAGTAATAAAGTAGAAAAGGATAAAGTGACATGGTCAGCCTTCAGTCCCCCTCTGTGTTCTGGGGGTTTCTCCCCAGCAGACCTGGGAGCGGGTATGGCTGGGGATTAAACCAGTGCTTCAGAAACTATATAGGAACTACCTGGGGACAGATGCTGACCCAGGAGGGCAGGGCTGGGGTCTGAGGGTCTGCATTCTAACAAGATCCAGGGAATGCCCCCGGCCCAGAACCACACTGGATAGGACGGTTCAAAATGCTCTTCACAACGATGTCTTATCCACATAAGAATTCTGAGGTCTGCTCATCTCTGCCTTCACATGGGAAACAGTACAGAGGTGAAATAATTTGCCCAAGGTCACACAGCTCTGGTGGCAGAACCAGGATTTCAACCCCGCCATTGTCCAAGGAGCCCTGCAAGCGAGGGCACTGGAGTCTGGTTCCAATGGTGACTGTGTCACAGGGAACCCTGGGTGGTTCCTTCAGCCAAGCTTTGATAAAGGCGCAGCCCTTAGCTTGGCCTGCCTTTGTCTCACCAGCTAATAAAAGCATCTGTCTAATAGTCTGCATTTATCCAGCATGGTTTACTTTCCTACTACTCATTAGCATGCGCCCCTCCGGCCCCCTTCAGGACCTCTGGCTGGATGTCTGACATCAAACCCAAAGTGTGAAGTTACCAACTATGGGCCTTGAAGAAAATATATAAGGAGCTAATCTTTTTTATGTATGTATGTATGTATGTATTTTATTATTTTTAAAGATTTTTATTGGGGAATTGGGGGAAGGGGAACAGACAAGTTGCTGTCGTTTTGTTCTTCAGTCTAGTTGTGGAGGACGTCACTTCACCGGCCCATGTTGGTATTATCATTGCGCTCTTCCCGGGTGAGGCAGATCGGTCGCCAGTCTGCTCACGGCAGCTCTTGGCAGCTCAGGCTGGCTGCCGGCTGCTCATGGTAGCTTATGGCAGCCCCACTGCAGCTTCACAGCAGCCTATGCCATTGCCAGCTACTCATGGCAGCTCCTGGTCGAGCTGTTGTTCACCATCTTAGCTGTAGAGGGCGCAGCATCACTGGCTCTAATGTGGGGTCTGAACTGGGGCCCTGCTGCTCAGAGCTGGCGTCCCAAGCCAGCTCTTAACCAACGCACCACTCGGCTGGCCCAGAGCTAATCTTTTATTTTAAAAGTCTATCTCTTGTAGTGAAAATCTTAGTTCCTAATAACACTAATGTGCTTACGTTACTGCACCCTGTGATATACAAGGTCTGACAATTAAGTTTGTGAACTTGTTGCACGATGTTGCTAACCTTTTTTGATATTAGAGGGATTATTCATTATTCATTATGAATTTGTACCAACTGGACAAACAGTTAACCAAGTTGACTATTTGGAAGTGCTGAAAAGGCTGCGTGAAAAAGTTAGATGAAAATAACCTGAAGTTTTCGCCAACAATTCATGGCTCTTACATCATGACAATGCACCAGCTCACCTGGCACTGTCTGTGAGGGAGTTTTTAGCCAGTAAACAAATAACTGTATTGGAACACCCTCCCTACTCACCTGATCTGGCCCCCAGTGACTTCTTTATTGACCCAAAGATAAAATATTGAAAGGAAGACATTTGGATGACATTCAGAACATCAAGGGTAATACGACGACAGCTCTGATGGCCATTCCAGAAAAAGTTCCAAAATTGCTTTGAAGGGTGGACTAGGTGCTGGCATCGGTGCATAGCTTCCCAAGGGGAGGACTCTGAAGGTGACCATAGTGATATTAAGCAAGGAGGTACGTAGCAACTTTTCTAGGATGAGTTTTCTAACTTAATTGTCCAACCTTTGTACATAAGTTTCAAAGTTACAATTTTAATATTACTACCAAAAAATACGGGGGAAAAAATTTGTAAGGCTTTTGGGGTTTTTTTTGCCTTTAATATGTATCACTAAGGATGTACTGTCAGAGTACAGAGCCCAGAAATAAGTTGAAATAATTCTTTTCTCTATATGGTCTTTATTGATTGTAATAATGAGTTAGTGCACCAATTTTTGGTTTAATTTTTTTTTGTTTTTGTTTTTGTTTTTTTTAGCTGAGCCATCCTGCTACCTGTTGGCAGCTCAGTGGCTGCTTAGCTCGGGCTGGACTTGAACCTCTGTTGCTCAGAGCTCAAACTCTTGAGTGAGCTCTTAACCAACTGAGCCACTCGGCCGGCCCTAATTTTTATTTTTTTGAGATTACATGCATGAAAAGTTATAATCAGAATCACTGCCCTCCAAGACCCCTACTATGTTCCTACCCAGCATCCTCACAGGTTCTGGTTTATACTTCCTGTGTTTCTTATTCAGGGAGCAAATGTATATGGGAGGGATGGTTGCTGACAGCCTCTGAGGAAGTGACATTTAAGCTGAGGCCAGAGGGGTGACCAGGATGTGTCAACCATGCAATCAGTTTATTTTTAATAAGTACGCCAAACAATTGCCAGGAAATTTTGTCCAGACTGGAGGGTGCAAACATGCCACTTTGTGAGTCATCTTCATTCATTGCAACAAACAAACATTGGCTGGGCTTGTGTGGGTGCCAGGAGTGCCAGGTGTGGGGCTGAGGTGGAGCGGAGTGCAGGGATGAGGAGTGGGGAGCACAGGGTTGGAGTTCAGAGGGCCAGCTTGGCCCCTCTGTGACCTTGGGGATTGACTGGGTCTCAGTTTTCTCTCTAAAGTAGTGGTGGCAGGAGGGTGATAATACCTACTTCAGAGGGTTGTAGGCTGAGTTAATTGAGGGCTCACCATGCCTGGCCTTGTTCCCAGCCCTCTGCTCATAACAATCCTATGAGGTAGGTGTATTATGCCCATTATATAGATGAGGACACTGAGGCACAGAGAAGACTGCCTGGCTCCACAGCACCATAGAGTGCTCAGTTGTGGTAACTACATATTTTTTTAATGTTTTTTTTATTGCAGTTGACATTCAATATTAGTTTCAGGTGTGCAACATAGTGATTAGACATTTATATACCTTATGAAGTGATCCCCCTAATAAGTTAGTACCCATCTGACACCATACATAGTTATTGCAATATTATGGACCGTTCTCTCTATGCTGTACTTCACATCCCCGTGACTATTTTGTAACTGCCAATTTGTACTTCTTAATCCCTTCGCCTTTTGTAACTACACATTTCAAACACAAGGCTTCCAGGGGCTAACAGCCTAGGCAGAGGAAAGACTTAGACTAGCAAATGGCTCATCCCAATCCAGAATCCAGTGTGTGATGCCCAGTGTGAACGGGGGATGAGGGAGGGAACGTGTCTGGTGTCATCAAGGAAGGTGTTTCAAAGATCTTTGACCTGAGCAGTAGTTTACTGGGATGAAGTATGTAGCACTTTTTCTAGGATGAGTTCTCAAACTTAATTGTCCAACTTTAATCGGACAGAACAGCATGTGCAAAGGCCCAGAGGTATGAACTAGCTTGATATAATCAGTTTCAAGCACAAAGCAGGAGGGAGGAGGCGGATCCAAACCATCTTCCATCTGCACTGAGGGAAACCATTGATCAGGGGAGATGGCACATGGATGTGAACTTCAGGAATGCAAATATAGCAACAGTGGGCAGGGAGACTGGAGGAAGGAGAAAGACAGGGAGAAGGGTTAGGGAGTTATGGTCACAACTCAGGCAGGAGGCATCCAGAGGTGGGGACGACCAAACCATTTCGGAACACGGTCTGTTAGCCAACAGAGAGGGAGGAGTCTGAAGGCTCTGAGTTTAGCAGCCTGTACGCCTGGGA